TTTTTTTAGCGTTTTGGACAGTGGTGAATCTCGTCGTATCAGTTAATAATCAGGGAGAACGCAACGTGGAAGAACCAGCAGCACGTCTTCGTCGACAGTGGCCACAACGTTAGGAAAATTTCCTTATTGTGTCCGTTTGAAGCATCTGCAGTTATGGGCGAGAAATTGCATTTGATGTTGGGGTTTATATTTAAGGGCAAGGGTGAAGTCCATTTATCAGATTTTGACAATAAATCCAACTTTTTTGATCCATCTCAGTAGAAGTTCTATGCGATCAGTTACTAAATGTGTTCAAAAATGAGTTGTTTGATTCGTTTCGTGTCCAATCGAGTTCTACGTTGAAATAATTTAGAAGTGCATCGACACAGTTACGAATATGACGAGCAGTACGATTGGGTGACAGATGACAGTTCGCAAGTGGTACGTTGAGTTGGCTGAAATCTGCGTGTTTATTTTGATTCAGCTTTGTTGTTTGTTATTGCTTTGGTTTGGTTTATTGTGATCGTTTGTTATTGTTGCGGATTTTGTATAATGAAGCTGAACTTTGAGAGTGAAACGATTCGACGTCGGCCGTTTCCACTACAAACATCGTCAACATTTGCGAATGAAGCACTGAATGAATCGGCGACCATGATTGACTCGTACAGAAATGCAAACAAACCGAAAACATCGATTGTATGGCGCTCACTTCGAGGGGTCTTGAGAGGCTGCCTCTATATCACCACAATGGGACTTTATCCGTCTGATTTTTGGCAGTAAGTTTTCATATGATTATTTTGATTGTCGTCGTCATGGATGTGGTTATGGTCATTAGAATGATTGATATGGATATTTATGGTCATTAGAAGTTTTTGTTGTTTCGTTATTATGAATGTTATCACGATTAATGCTGATACGAATATCGCGCTGAAAATTTCAATCGTATTGTTCGATCTATTTGATGAATGAATGAATGCAATTTCGTTTGAGGAAAAAGCACAAACCTCGAGATGTAAGGAGAGTAGATGAGAATGTGGCTGGAGGTGATGAGGTGGCGTTCACTCGGGCATCTGCTACGTCACTGAACAGGCCGCCGAGGTCGTGGATTGATTCGATAAGTGCATTCTCACCATCAGACGATTCAGTGATCCAACAACAACACCAGCAAGATCAGCAGACGTATTTCGATGGCCCTCCACCATCATACGATGAAACGTGCGCTCTTGTTTTCTACTGTTTTATTTCGGTGTATCTTTGCGGGGAATTTTGAAAGTTGAGAAATGATGTTAGTAATTGGTACGTCGCGGATTCGGTTCCCATTCACGAGGAAAATTTCACTCGAAGCCGAGTGATGTACTAATGTTATTAGTTTCAATTGTTAGTGTTGTTAATTTGATGTGTAGAGTCAGTTGTGCATTTTTTTTTTGAAACTATTTCATTTGTCAGTTTGTTGTGAACTCCGGCTACGTATTTGGATTCTGGATTGTTGAAGTGCAGTTTTTGATATTCGTTAGGAGTGATGTTTTGCGTAAGATTCATGATCATGATCAGTTTGATCAGAGGGTATGCTGAAGTGTGTATTGAAGGTAATGCAAGTTACAGATGGGAAATGCAAGAAGGTGGAAGCCGTCTAGCACCGCGTATTTCCACTCCGCTTAACCCTACAACACCAAGACAACCGGCTATCTCAATCCGCGACCAGCAGCAGCAGCAACAAACTCCGAATGCAGACGGTCCAGTGCTGGGATTCCTTTGGACGATTCTGTCGGAAACACTCGAGTTTTGGATTACTCTATATGAAATTGTGGCGAGAAACATACGACTCGTGAAAGACAAAACTGTTAATTTGTTCTCACCGAGGTAAATGAATAATCATTCAGTTACGAATATCTTTCAGAATATTTATTTGACATTTTCAGTTCTTGAGAAAATTTTTATTGTATTGGGGACAAATTGATTTGTCGTTTGCGATCGATCGATCTATAGTGTTGTTGATTTCAGAGATGAAGTTGTCTATAATCTTCGTTCACGTTCAGTGAGAGCACCGAGTCTACAACGTCAACCTCCGACTGAACACTTGCCTGAATATGTGTCGCTGTATAGAAGAACGCTCAAGAATGTGTACGATATGTCAGCATCAGCACTGAAAACGATGCTTTCAATCGGTTCGTCAGTGTTGTTGGCACCAGTGATGATTACCACGTATCTAGTGAGTACAGCTATTGATAAGACTCGTCACCGGTGAGTGAATCTGATCTTTTGAATCTTTTTATTTTTATTGTTTAGTGTTAGTCTTTGAGTTTTCGAGTGGTGATAGAGATGAGAAGAAATCCTTTATTACTGTTTGCCATTGCGAGACTGATCTGATTTGAATCATTTATTGGGAGACTTCATTATATTATGACCTTTTTTGTTGCTATTATTAGGGTCACCAGTATGATTATCCATATGATGGTCATTTCAATCATTGTAGTTGATGTTATCATCCTTAGCATTAACTGCAATGATTGAAGTGACATTATGATCGCTAGAATGTTATGATCACACGTTATGATCACTATGGTGATCAGTGTTATTTTTTCTATCAATGGTATTGCTTTTAAGAGAGTATTTGATTGTCCCTCATTAGGTTCAGTAGGATTTTGATCATTATTAAGTTAACATTCAGCTTATTATTGATTATAGGGAAACAGTAACGCCTTTACAAGCTGCAACAACGCCATCATCAAGAAGTGATTATATGGTCGGACGAGCGTTTGGTATAATCGCAGACTTTTTGTATTCAGTCGTTAAGGGATTCATGGATCTAGTCATCTTTCTGTTGAATGTTCCTATGATGATGTTCAGTTGTATTCGAGAGAATACGATGCCATTACTCCGCAGAGCGTGAGTGTTTGCTTATTTTGACGGGATTTGTGTTCATTTTTTCAATTTTTCTATCATTTGTTAGTTTTCTTATGAGATATTTTGAGTGTGTGTGTGTGGAAATATATTTCAAGCAACAAAGTCGTCTGAAGGGAACAAATGAAATATTCGTTTTTGCAGATTCACTGGGACAGATGATGACGTACAGCGAAGCACGCACGCAATGACAACAAGAGCAATGAGCCGTGGCGGAAGTGCCGTGAGA